ACCCCCACTAAACACTAAAGAGCTAAAAAGCCAAGGGGATGGCTGGGAGCCACCAAGACAAAACCCGTGGGTCGCAGTTTGACATCGATTCGGGATCCGCTGGCGCCCGATGCCAAGCGCTTCTGCGTGGAGCCCCAAAAGGCTGTTTTTTTTTGGTCAAAAGGCTTTGTCCAAAAAAATGGTCATACGGCCAAATACGTTTTTCTTCGGTTTGTTTTCAATATTTTATCGATAAAATACGGGTTTTATACGGCCACATACGGGCAAATCAGGCAAATGACCGAAAAAAACAACCTTACGGGCAAACACAGGCCAAATACGCCTTTTGACCGAAAAAAGTGGCCGTTCGGGGTTCCAGGTGGGAATCCATGAGCACGCCTCCAGTTCGCTGTGAGGGTGACTCACCGTTCGAACACGGAAACACGAAACGGGGGGCACCTTCTTCAACACCTTTGGACAAACCTCGCTTCCCCCGTTCCTACATGTCCAGGCTCATTTTCACGAAAAGGGGGGTTTCTGGGGCGAACTCTGTTGGCCATGACGCAGCCCAGTTGGGACAAAAAGGGAAAACAGCACATGGCGATCACCCAAACGGGTCCGGGAAACCAGATCCGGTCGATCCGCGACCCAAAGCACAGCGGTTGCGAACCACACCCTCCACGAAGCGCGGCCGGGACAAGTCACGAGAATGCTTCTCCCTATTCCAAATACCCGATGCCTTTTTGTAGTGCATGATGTCGACCCTCTATCAAAAAAGGAGGTATTTCCCATGGAAGACTAGTTTTTCCTCAAATACCAACTCAAAAAAAAGAAAGAAAAAACGTGGGTATTCGGAGGTTTCGGGGGTTGAGTTTGAAAGGACCACCCGCTCCAACTGAAAAGACACTTGGTTACTTGTTTGAAGGACCACCCTCTCCAAACCAAGGGACCCTCCCGCCCGCAGGTCGCATGCTCACCGCACCTGCATGTTGATTGCCAGGGGAACATTCTGCTCCACCGCCACCACGAACATCTCCTGGCGCGCCACTCGATTTCCCGGGTGACGTTTGGTTAAGCTCCGACGTCGGCATATTTCCAGTGATAGATTCCGTTTAAAATCAACCACAGAAAATAATACACATTCTTAAGCAAAAGGAAGCAGCGAGATATTCAACCTAACATCGCCTGAGGGAACTCACCCAATGGAAATATCGGGGGCCCATTCGCCAAAAACGACGCCTTCCCAGTTGTAGCCAGTGACCCGAACGGAACTTTTAAAGGCTTGACTCTTTCTAGTGGGGAACCTGCCAAACAAAAAGAACAAACAAAACCACTGAACGACAGGGGCTTTTCCATGCGAGCAACTGGCCTGCAACACCCATAGGGTACTACCCAAAACCGATGGCTTTCTTTGCGAACCGCAGCGAACTACCAAAGAATGTGAGCCCCTGAGTGGTTTTTGGACATGCGAGTCCGATGTTCCTCCCAAATGGACCCCACAGAAACACGTTGATATTTGGCCGAACTTGGCGCTGGCTGTCAGGGGCTTGAGGTTCGTTGAAGCAACTGCCCGAGTTGGAGCCTTTCCCAAGACTTCCAAGAAATCTTCAGGAGCAGCTCCCCCCCCCTTTCCCCCCGGGTACGTAGCGTCTCCTTTGAGCTAGGCACCTGGGTTTGGTTGAGGGGTAACTTCTTAGGAGTCTCCATTTCTGGACCCGCCAAAAAAACGAAGCGCCGCACCTCTCTTTGCGGTCAAAAGGACGTACCCCCAAAAGCAAGTTGTCAGAAACCCCCGCCGAAGGGCGGCCGAACTGGCCCAGGACACGCAGAGTCGTGCATGCTCCAAAGATTTAACCAAGACATAGAGTCATCTTTTCCATCTATCAGACCCGAAGGTCTGGATGCCTATTCTCCACTTAGGTTTGAGGAGTGGACCTCCGGGTTGCACGGGACGAGATTGATTTTGGTTTGGACGGTGTTGCCGCAAGGAGCGCCTTGTAAATGGAGAGCGAGTGCTGGTCCAGCATGAAGACCTCACGGTCAAAACAAAAATGAGCTCCAAGGCCTGGCGTGTTGGGACTGAAGAAATCCTCCATACGCAAGCCATCCTATAGCTCGGTTGCTAAAAGTTTAACTTTTAGTGGTTTAGTGGAAAACCCATTAGAATGTCCTAACAGCCAAGCAAAATGCACCAAAGGGGTCACTATCCTCCAAGAGGCTCTCTTCAAGTTTGGGGCTCTCAATCCAAACAGCCAGGAATTCCCATCAGGCCCCAAAACAGGTGAGCGCTCTTAGCCCATCGCCATCGGCGGAACGGCCCAACTCGTTGGAATGGCGTTGAGGTTCTGAAATTCAAATCGAGCCATGATTAGAGGAGCAAGCTATGAACTACTCACTTACTCCCATCGAGGAGATTGGCCAACAAGAAGTCTAAACTGTTTCTAGGTTCTCCAGTAGAGAGGTTAGAATAAGGGTACCAACTTTTTTCTGTAGTCTATTTTAGTAGGGGAACCCTCCCCCCAAAAAAGGGTAAAAGGAGACTACTGGGGGACCTAGGTTTGTTTACAGTTTGGTTCGGTCCCAGCAAGTACAAAGTTCAGGAACTCGGGCACTGAGAACTCGGGCCATCTAGCCCTCGCCCACTTCCACCTTTCTTCCCGCGAGCGGCCAGAATTTTGGGTTACTGCAAGCCCCCGCGAGCAAAGGGTCGATCACCTGTGTGGCTGTGCAACAGTTATTTGGCTATGAGTCAAAACCCACCATGGCCCACGGCCATTTGGCTATTGATCTTTAAAAAGGAACCACATCAAAAGTGGTTGGTGGACATGAAGTCCATCACAGGGTACCACAGGGTCCCTGAATTTAGTCCCAAGCTCGGGGGCGATTGAGTCCAAAGAACTGACCAAGGGTACCAGCCCCATGGCGCCCAAAACCAAATTGGGATTCCCCACGGGCATCAAATTCCCCGGACCGTTCAGGGTGTGAGGGGGGGTGGGTCAGGGACCCACTTCCATTTATCTAGTATTCCAAGCATAAGGACAACTGGGTCTCCATCAATGGAGATCTCCAGCCGTTTTCGCCCTCCTCCAACCAACCATTTTTTTTAGAGACCCGGTGGGGATGGCACCAAACCTGGCGGCAAAAATACGCCCCCGGCGAACCAAAAGGGAAAACCCTTTCGGGGAGTGATCGATTTCCTTGAAACCAAATGGGTTTTAGCTAAACAGCATCAATCATCTCACTTCCTCAGTGGATCGGGCAACACAAAACACCTAAACTTTCCATTCACCACCCAAAATGGCAACCAATCCGAGTTTCGGACCTCGGGGAGTACAAGATAAAACAATATTCCCTACTCCAAATACCCGGCGTTTTCTTTTTTGGGGGTATTTTTGGAAAAGAAGGTCGACATCATACCCCAAACAAGGCGGGTATTTTGGAGGTTACGGGGTAGGAATTGTCAGCAAATGGGGAAGTCCAGGCCACCCGAAATGACCCGATTTCTTGGTTGACGTTAGAAGAGGAGCAAACAAATAATAACAATTAGCAGTCAAGTGGATTTCAACCACTCAACCACAATAGGCAAAAATGTAAAAACAAAAATGTTTCCCAACAACAACCATGATTTGAAGCCTCGAATCTGCTCATCTCTTGCGGCCCCCGGCTGCTCCCAGGCTGCGCTTCGCCTTTTCGCTGGCTCTGCACTCCTTGGGCCGCACGTGGTGCGCCATCTCCTGCCGGACGGCTGTTTGAGGAGCCGTTTGGGCCTGGCTTGGTCCACCCAGTGGAGATTAGAAGAAGGGTACCCACTTTTTGCTGTCAATTTTAGTAGGGGAACCGAATCTCCCAACGAACCAAAAGAAGTTTTCTTAGGGCACTGGGGGACCTAGTTTTGTTGGGGTCAACTCCAGTTTTGGAGGTTCGAATATGGGTACTCGATCCCTTTTTTTTTTCTGTAGTCTATTTTAGTAGGGGAACCCTCCCAACCAAAAAATAAACGGTAAAAGGGCACTACTGGGGGATCTAGTTGGGGTTCGCTGGATGTCCCTCATTCTGCGCAGATTCGAAACTCAAAGATGAACAACAAGTCTTGAACCACTCACTTGAGCGGATTCCGAAACAACTCACCACATCCTGGGTGGATTCGGAAAGTCGGCAAGTGACGCCAAACCCAGTTGCCCCCGTGAACCAGTAATATTGAAACGAACACCCGCAAAGAAAGACACGTTTGTTTTTTCTGGCGAAACTGAAACAATGACCCTTTCAACTCATTCGACCCATTTTTGCCTTCCCACACATAAGCTGTCTGGTGGCTCAGCTGTTAGGTGCTCTTGAGGGCCATGACATGACCATTGCTATGGTTGAAAGGACGGGCGGCTGCAAGTGACCAGCTGACACGAGTCACCTGGATATTCAACCTTCGTAGGATACAGAAAAGGAGTGGCGAAGCGCCCAAAAACAGGCATCCACTCAAAACCAGCAAAAGCACGCCCGGTAAAACAACCCGGGAGGGCAACACAAAAAGAGAATTGCTCCAAGAACAGAATCCTGCCAAAGCAAATCCCCGAACAAAAACAACAACAAACCAACAACAACCAACCAAACAAACAAACAAACAACCAACCAACTAACAAAAAAACCAACCAACCAACCAACGAACCAACCAACCAACCCAACAACCAACCAACCAACCAACCGACCGACCGACCGATCGATCGACCGACCAACCGACCAACCAACCAACCAACCAACCAACCAACCAACCAACCAACCAACCAGGTTAACCAACCAACCAACAAACAAACAAACAAACAAACAAACAAACCAACAAACCAACAAACCAACAAACCAACAAACCAACCCAACAACCAACCAACCAACCGACCGACCGACCGACCGACCGATTAACCAACAACCAACCAACCAACCAAGCAAGCAAGCAAGCAAGCAACCAACCAACCAGACAAACAACCAAACACACAAACAACCAACCAAAAACCAAACAACCAACCAACAAACCA